AAAAAAAGAAAACGATTAATCGATTATTAAATTAGTTATCGATTATTTTAATAATCGATTAGTCGTCGATTAATCGTGGCAGCCCTAGTACATTCTGCAGGTATCTTCAGTCCTGTTCTGGTGAAAAGCCCACTCTGACCTGCTGACGTGGCTCTCTTCCTGCAGCAGGAGATGCTTCATGGCTTTAAGCAGCTGATGCATCTGAAACACACTCAGGTTGGTTTGTAGCATCTCAGAGACCTGCTCCATGTTAGCTTACATCAGAACACACTTGGTCCTGTTTCAACCCTGCAGGTCAGAACTTTGTGTCTCTGGTGGGTAAATTATAAACTGGTCTGGACACTCCTGCATCACGTCTGGGTGGAAACATAAACTCAAATCTTTAGTTTCCATTGTTCCACCCAGTACCTGCTCCAAACCAGCTGCACTGCTTTTCACTTCTTGTCTTGTAATCCTGAGATCAAGAGTATTTTTATTTATTTTTTTGGTGAATGCAGTGCTCTTCATACACACCGTTAGCAGTAAATCTGATGAAACAATCACTCTCTCAGGATGTAACCACTGGTTGTGCTTCCATTAATGTTGAAGCTAAACCCATTCAAGATGGCCGCCACAGCTGACTTCAGAAAACACTAAATCAGTTTGGCAGATTGTGCTAAATATCAGCATCGACCCGTCACATGGAACCAGGATTAGGTCTCAAAGTGGAGAAACAGGCAGATTTAGTGTTTTATTAAAATGTTTGCAATAATTAAATGTTGTCAAAACATAACAAATAAATAACGCCTTATCAATAAATCATTTGGATGAACTGTCTGAAATATAATCATAAAATAATGTTTGAAGCACTTTTTTGAACAAATGCAACAACAAATTTTGAGCAAAAATGGCTTAAAATGTAGAGATTTTCCCAGTGAGCAGGAAATCTCTAAATCAAATTTTATTTGAGGTTTTGTCTTTATAATGACATAAAAAATTCTCAATAAAATGACTCATTATATCAAAATGAGGATCAAGACAAATTTGGTCAAAATGATGTAATCACATTTTCAGATTCCTGCTTTAAAAGCTACATTTAGAGACCTGGATCATCCTGATGTCATCAGTTCATCCAGAGATATGATTTATTTTGTCTTGTTCGTTATTATAATACATTAATATNGCTCTGGAAGGATCGCTTTTTTCTTCTTTTTTTTCTTTCTTTTTTTGAAGGAGTGGTTGAAGCAAATGGAGCATAAGAGCCCCCTGGTGGCTGAAGAAAAAAATCCATGTATAAACCGCACCGGACTATAAGCCGCATGGTTCAAAGTTCAGGAAAAAAGTCGCGGCTTATAGTCCGAAAAATACGGTACTCGATCATACCTGCTGGTTAGTGGACACAACGGCACACAACAGAACTCACGTTTTATACCAGTAGATCACAGATGCTTTAACTTTTGTGACTTTTTCACAGACTTGTACTAGCATTTAACACTAAAAACAAAGGCAGGAAGCAGGAAGTGGAAGGGAGGAGCGTGGCAAGAATTTTACTGGAAATACGTCATTAATGACCGTGGCATATAGGTTATTCTGTTGTCGTGCACAGAAGCATTTGCTCCTCCTCTTAGTACCACAGTGTTACTTTATGTGTTGTCTTTTGAATAAATATATTATATACATATATAGTATCGAAATCAGAATCAGAATACTTTATTGATCCCCGAGGGAAATTACAAGTATTAAAGCTGCAACCGTTCAGATCAGAGAAATGTGAAAAGAAAGAAGGAAGGAAGGAAGCACACTTGAATAAACTAAACACCCAGGATTACAAAAGAAGCACACTTTTGTACACATAAACACATTATTATCACAATTTGATTGTGTTTTTTGTATCTTTCCAGCTGTTTGTGAGATGTGTGGAAAAACTGGAAGATTCAGCAGCTTCTGCTCCAAGTCCAAACGTTTTTGCAGCCTTTCCTGTTCCCGCTCTTATGCATCCCACTCCAAGAAAACTGTACTGCTGAACCGGCTGAAGGTTTGGAACAAATATATCTTGTTACACACATTAAAGGGTGATTTCTGAAGGGATTTTTGGCAAATATTTACCAAAGTATTTGATAAGTCTTTATTTTTGATGTCATTCAACAGTGTTCCTCCAGGTACACTGTGTGCTACACGAGTATGGGATTGTGTGTCTGTTGTTATGGGTCATTCAGTCTCTATACAAGCAGTGAGAGTTTGATTCACATTGTTGGTAGTAAGTCGGACCCCTTCAGGGTGGGAGTTGGACTCCAGGACTGCCCGTTGTCACTGATTCTGTTCATAAATTACATGAACAGAATTTCTCGGTGCAGCCAGGGGGCGGAGGGAGTCCGGTTCAGTGGCCTCAGGATTTCATCTCTGCTGTTTGCAGAAGATGTGGTTCTGTTGGCGTCATTGCGCTGTGATCTCCAGCTCTCACTGGAGCGGTGCACAGCTGAGATGAGGATCAGCACCTCCAAATCTGAGTCTATGGTCCTCAGTCGGTAAAGGGTGGATTGCTCTCTCTAGGTTGGGGTGAAATTCTGCCTCAAGTGGAGGAGTTCAAGTATCTTGGGGTCTTGTTCACGAGTGAGGGAAGAATGGAGCGTGAGATTGATAGACGGATCGGTGCAGCTTCTGCAGTTTTGTGGACTCTGTACCGGTCTGTTGTGGTGAAGAGGGAGCTGAGCTGTAAGGCAAAGCTTTCTGTTTACCGATCAGTCTATGTTCCTACCCTCAACTATGGTCATAACTTTGGGTAGCGGCTGAAAGAACAAGATCGTGGATACAAGCGGTCGAAATGAGTTTCCTCTGCAGGGTGTCTGGGCTCTCCCTTAAGGGCTCGACATACGGGAGGTGATGTCGCTCGCTCTCCATTCATTTCCTATGGAGCCTGTGTGATGAGGCAACAATCGCTTGCCCTCCTCCAGCTAAGCGACTGGCGAAAATAGTGCATGTGAAATTTCGCGCTCGTGCACGTGCACACGCGAGCTTGCAACGCGACATATGAAAGTTGAAAAATGTTGAACTTTTGTCGCTGTTGCTTAGCGTACAACCAATCATCGAGGATTTCATTGACTGACCAATGAGAGGAGAGTATGCTACACACTGCTGTTAGCTAACACTTTCACCAAGTGATTACTAAAAAGCTTAGTGGGAATTTGTTGG